CAGTTTTGTGTCATCAGCAAACTTGCTGATGGTGCACCCAGTTCCCTCCTCCAGGTCATTGATGAACACATTGAATAGTACTGGTCCCAGTACCAACACCTGAGGGACTCCACTAGATACAGGCCTCCAACTAGACTCTGTCCTGTCTGTCCTTCAGTCTCCAGTATCTTTACATCAGGTAAGTGTAACTGAATTGAATCTCCGTGGCCTATAGTCTTCCTTTGTTCCCTTTACTGCAGTGCTACCTATACTGTTATTCTATTCCAGTTTTTTAGTTTGTCTCATACTAGGTAGGACACTGAGGCCTAGTAAAAAGAGTTATTTTTAATGACTATTCAAGCCACTAGAATAGTGATCAGGTTTCAGGCTCTATAAGCAAAAACAGGCTCCTGAACATCCCGAAATATCCATATTGATAGCACCGAAAAGGCAGGAACTGCACTTCTGTGAGATCAGGACATCTGAGGAAAACAGTAATTCTGCAGTGGACCTGGTTAACCGCCCACAACTACCACATAGTCTCTATTAAAATCCAGGCACCCAACATGTTTCTAGGCTATCTCTTTTTCAAGCTGTTGGGGCAAATCTGACCTGCGTAATTCCTTGCTGTAGGCTTCAACAGTAGTTATGCACCTTGCAATCTATACAAGCCATCAGTAAGGACAAGGCTTGTGTTACTAATACAATTAAGTAAAGTGTCCTTGGCCTTAAGACAGCTAGCTTCTATACTCAAACAACATATCTCACCAAGTTGGTTGCATGCAGCTAGAAAAACTGGTGTAAATATTTTTTTATATACATATGTAAAGTTTGGAGGTAACCAATTTGTACGGTTTAAAATCACCTGTTGATTTACTGGTTGATTTTGCCGTTACTCGGAATTATTTGTTGAAATACTAAGGAAGAAAACTGGGCTTTCTCTAACAAATTTGAGCTTCTCCAGTAGTAGATGAGCTGCTCTTAATATTTAAAATCCGAGAGAGAAATTCCATAACCTCTTCTGCCAACACCTGCGTTAGAAAACCAAAATAACCCTGCTATTAAAAGTGTTGACGCCAATTTGGTTCATTTTGACAGAACTTGGCTAGGAATCAAACACACAGGCCAGCAAACCTCAGTTGCAACTTGTGGTGGTAAGGCAGTAATGAGTAGCTGGGCACAGCAAACTTCTAATCTAGCAGAGCTACAGCCACACTCTAACCATAGTCTTAGAGTTAGGCTTTTAATCCTCTTACTACATTGAATTATTTGTGCAATTCTCTTCTGCTAGAGCAAATACCAGTGTTTTACTATCACACTTAATTTCAACACTATATATCTGTACTTTGTTAGCATTTGTTGTCTTTATAGAACGTATTAACCTATGAAGGGCCACAAAATACGTATTTCATCTTTTCAATGTATGGTTTCCATTTCATTCTTTGTGGATGTCGTCTTCATCTCTGAGGACACCGACTGTGTCCACACTGACATCTACAACGCTTACTTAACTTTCATCACAACGAAAGAAAAGCAATATAACAAAGCACCTAATGCACAATCTGAAGTATCTGAATGACTCTGACTTAAACCGACAGGGGCATACGTCAAGCAGATAAATGCAAAAGAAAGACATTCTACTAAGCAAGGTACATTTCAAGTCCGCAGCATCACATCTGCAAGTTCTATTTCCTGAAACATATGTGTTCATGTGCCTTTAATGGGAATGTAAAGGACTTCCTGTAACATTTCCAGCAGAATACAGAATTAACTCATGATCAGTCTTTCTTCCTAGAACCAAGTTATATCCTAGGTCACTTTTTGGTGACGCTGGTTTAGTCACCTAGCCAGAGCTAAAAGTTCACAAAGCCATCATAGAGATTTTGCTTGAATATTTTGTTCATTAGATAAAGCTTGTCAAATCTAGTAATTGGTTTGAAGAACACATAGTTTTCTTTTAAGTTGAAAACAAAACCCCAAACGCCATACTGTCTTCTTTCAGTAACGTGTTTAAATGTATTTGCGCTCAAGCGTTTCTCCCCACACCCACTTTGCTCACAACCGCTGTCATTTTTGCCACTGCATAAATCATCAAACTTCAGTGTAGTACATACTTAAAATGATTGTGTAAGGGGTAAAACTCAAGTACTTCACGGATAAACCATTTTGTTAAGTTGAAAACAAGCATAATTTTAATGCATTTTGTTTCCTGTTCTTGATTTAACTGGTTATATTTGGGTGATAAGCAGTTGATAGTGGAGTTTGTAATGGGTGGTGTGAAACAGAGCACTGATAATATTGAAAAGGTCACCATTTGCTATGCTGCACTACCAAAACAGCATTTTTAAATTGGGGATTGTTTATGCTGCACTACCAAAACAGCATTTTTAAATTGGGGATTGTTCACGCATCTTGCAGGTTAGGCTTAAAACTCAAGACTTCTGGGAGAGAAGGGAGATTGCTTAGACATGTAGAAGGGGGAGTGGTAAGGCTAATTGCATTTCAAGCCACAACTCTTCAGGAAATGATACATGTCATTCTCCATTCCTGTGGTTTTACTATTATGATCCAAGAACATTCACAGAAAACAAAGTTAGCACCCTGAGATGATTTGGCAAGTGGTTTTTTTGCTTATGCCAGTTATTGTTCTAATAGAAAACCTGCTCTGGTTAGCTACAGTTGAGAAAACACTGGAGAAGAGCAGAGCTAGTGAAATCCTTATTAAGTTACAGCTTTTCATGTGTAGTAAGAGACAGACTGCAGGCTTAAAAGACTTACAGAATGTGAATGAAAGTCACTTTGTCTGGGAGAAGACAGGTGAAAAAAACGACTAAAGATCTACCAAGCCAGATGAGCAATATCCTAAATGCTAAATAGGGAGGACAGCGAAACCCAGAATTATGAACTGTAGCCATTAGACTCACATAGAAACCATTAGTTGTGTTTTTATTGAATGAGGGGAAGCCCTACGTAAGCATTTTAAGGATGACTCAGAGAGGCTCTGAATTGAGGCAATTTCTAGATGAGAGATGTGCCAAAAAACCCCCCATCATCAAATGCCGCAGGCCGAACTTTGGATGAAATACGGAATAAATAGGAAGAATTTTGCTTCCACTTGGAATTAAGACTGTATTCAGGCTTACCCTATTTAGTCCATTTTTAATATTTTAACTATTGCTATCAAACTATTCAGCTCAAGAACCACAAAACACCATAGATCTAAATAACTGCTTAAACAGCTCCAAAGCAGTTCATTGGGTAAATACAGCCAAACTTTTCTCCCACAGGAAGTAGTCACCAGTAATTCCCCTTCCATTACGCCAGGGTTTTCACTCTCTCAAAAAAAAAAAAACAGTAGAAAACTATTCACATACTAGAATAGACTGACAACTTATCCTTCCTAGGAAGCATTTCCTCCATATGCACGTGAGAAACTACTACACAATGAAGCCTAACATAACTTTTTCAGACATGCTGATTTTGTTAAACATGAAGCAAAGCTATATGGAATCTTTGTGCTGTAACTAAAGAAAACAGATCTAAAATAACTAGAATTGAGAAATGCAGTGGGCTTTGCACTTATGAAAAAGTTGCAAATGACTTCAAATAGCCCTGCTGTCAAGTGTATGTTTTTAACCTCCAGTGAGCCATCAAGCTTCCTGAATGTTCATACTTATGTCCTAATCACTACTTCCTTAATATTACCAGCCAAGTTATCTTTTAGGGAAAGTGGTAAGGTCACTGTGACCGCATGTTGGGTCTTATCTGATCATTACCTTAACCACCCTATGATTATTTTACACTATGCCCTGTAATTATATTCTGGTATTCTCCACCTGCATTGTCTATTCCAAAATTTTGTAAAATATTAAATAATCACTTCTTGTCACTGTATAAATAGAGCATCTGACCAGAATGAATGACCTGCAGGATACTTTCCACTACCTCAAGTAAACTTGTATTGTTTGAAGTTTTAATATTAATAATGACTAAAAATCCAAATATACAGTTTACAAATTGACCTGTTTCCTTACAGAAGACTTCAGTAGTTGCACCTCAAAACTCACAGCTAATGGAAGCTTTTAAAGACTGTCTCCACAACAGTCAGAAAATTCATAAAAATAAACAGGGTTTCATAATCGTGAGTAAAAACAAAGTTCCTAAACAAGACAAAAACAAGCCGAGTGGATAAAGGGAACAACAAAAGTCTAGTACTTTATTTAAAAAATGGCTTTTAATATAAATCTGAATACAAATATAACCAAAACACCCCACAGTCTTCTCAAACAATTCCTCAAGGTTTTCTCTTATCAATTCCCTGACAATTTTGCAAGCGCTTGTTTTCTCTGTTCTACAGTCATATATTCACAGGCTTCCAAAATATTTACTATAATTAAAGTCTGTTGAACTGTTTTTGCTTTTACCCATATTCTTCCATTCATTCCCAGTACCAGCTCAAATGGGTACAATTGTGACAACTCCTGAATTATTTCACATTTGGGAGCCAAGAGTCTGTAAATAAAATTAAAAAAAAAGTCAGAGGAAGAAGTGCTTACATTTGATAGACACCACATTGTTATCAACCAATAACTAAACCACAGTATGGCATTACGGGAGCTAAACAACATCAAAAGGCATACTGATCAAGTTGCATATACATCCAAAATAGCAATACAGTACCAGATTTTTAATTCCCCTCTCATAAAATACATGCATCTAAAAAAATACAGCACTTGTGAATTTAGTTGTTTTTTCCTGATTAGATGCAAAGATGACATTTAAAGTGAATTCTATGATTTAATAAATTCTAAAACTACACTGTTTGACAAAGTGACATGTTTAAAGTACTGTTTGATAAATTTGATACCAGAGTTAAAGATGTGTCTTTCAAAACATGACTTCCCTTCTCCTTCGGGAGACAATACTAACACCAGTAAACATAGAATATTTTGGTTTTATTAGGTGACAGCACACTGAAAAATTAAAGTGTTAAGAATATTGTAATACATCTAGGATTAAACCAAGCTTCAACAGGCTTTCTAAAGAAGAAACAAGCATATCAGGATTTAGCAGTTCACTTGTAATACACTGTTATTTCTTTACTCGCATACAGACAGAATTGGGGAAACAAGCAGAATGGCTGCAAAAATATTTGTCTCAGCTCACGCTGACTCCCAATGGACATGTAAACCAGACAAACAATTACCTTAAAAAACAGGTATGAAATAGCTGCTCTGCATCTCCACATTGTTTTTCCAAAGAACAAAAACAACCCCCCCACACCCAAAGCCAACAACAAAGCTTGACTATCATTTATCCATATAATCTGGTTTTCTTTGATAGTCACAAAAATCTTGCATTTACATTGGCATAAGTAACTCTGAAGTTCACAATACATTTAAAAGCTTATGAAACAGTTCCTGGATTAACATGCCAGTTTTAAATGAAAATCCCACAAATTTTTTAGCTGCATCCTTATTTCAATGCAATTTATTTTTCTTTGGAAGTCAGAAAAATAGTGTGTATTGATGTGGAAAGACCCCTTTAATCAGCTGTCAGTCAAATGTACATCCCCCACTATCCCATTAAGCAGAAAAAGGACAGTAAGCATTTCCAATTTTTAAACTCCAAGGTAGAAGATACATACCTGAAACCCTAGCCCTAACAATTGATTTCCCCAGGTCACTAGTTTTATTTTCCATACTGCCTTGGTGACCACATCACTTCTGTTAAACAGGTCACACAACACCACGTAGAAGAGACTCTAAATCTCTTAAGAGGGAAAAAAAGATTTCCTTCTAGGCCAACATCCATGCTCTACTCGGTAAAACCAGTATAAGTGCACTAAAACAATTACATACTCCAATTACCAAATTGTCCACACAGCTCAGAGGAAACACCTGAGCAAATCCTACCCACCATATTACACGTCAGAGTGACTACTTACTTTTTTTTAGTACTTACTTTCTTATTAGACCTAAGGAAACTTTAAAGAGGAAGCCATCTTGTCCAATGATTCCCATCCCACTTGATCTTCCACTGCTGTCTATACAGACCATTTCTGGTTCCATGTCTTTATTTGCTACAAGGAACTGACCATAAATAAGATCTCCCACCTAAACAGTAGTAGAGAAGATCACACTAGACATTTGTAAGAAATTCTCAGTTGATAAAAGATCCTCTCACAAGGCCACAAGATAGTTTTAATATATTGGTCATCGAAAAGTAAACTGGTATAATAAGAATTATTTTCTCTTCTTCTACTAAAGGACCCATCTTCCAGGCACAATTATCTTGTGCCACTACTGGAATTTGAAAGATACAAAAAAAGGTACAGAATTTTATTTCATGGACTGTTCCTCTTTTAAATACCAAACATGCATTCCTTTCTAAGCAACGTGCTCTTGTAATCATTTATCAGGAATTCAACAAAAAAACCCTCCACTAACCTATTTTGTTTTTCTTTACAGTCCATTTTTACGTTCTGGTGACGGTATTTCAGTTGAATGCAGCAGCTATGGCACGCATGTGCCACAAAACTGTTTATAACAGCATCATTAAAAATACATTTTCTACCAGTATCAGATTGTTATAAAGCCTTAACTTCAGAGCGCCCCCCCGGATGCACATTACTCATGAATTACATCTGCTGCTCGCAGTGTTACTGAAAAAGTTAAAACGTACGGAGTGAAAAAGCCTGCCATCTGGCAGACAGCAAACATGCTAGGTACATGTTCTCTTAAGAAGCCTCAGAAAGCCCACCGCCTAACCGTGCAAAAAAACCTCCGAAGAGGGTCAAGGCGAAATCATTGCAAACAAACCCGCACTCCTTTTACATGCGCCTTACACTCACAAAACGTAACAGAAGCACCACCAAGCGACATCACTAAAGCACTACCGCCAACAAACAAGAGCATTAACCTGCACGTTCGGCCTGTTCCTCTTCGTGGCGCCTTCAAAGGCCAAGTAGGACAGCGACGCCTGCTGGCTCCCGCCGACGTCCAGCTTAAACACGTCTCCCGCTTTGGCCGTCACGATTCCTATTACGTGGTCGCCCTTGACCGGAACATACTGCAAACGGGGTTGGCGGATAAACGGGTCAGGCAAGCACGGACAAGACGGAGGCTTTCCCGGCGCCCCACTGCACACACCCGGTGCCCCCCGCGCCCCTACCCGCTTCTGC